TGACATTTGTCCCAGCGAGACGATTAACGGAAAATCATGTCTCACGAGCTGATATAATTTCTCTTATTAGATCGCTATCGTTTCCTTTAATTCGGCGTCGAAGAATGTGTTTTGAGTGATTGCAACACACGCCAGTTGTGTAGGTCACTCTTCAGACACTTGAGAAAATTAATCTTGACTTTTTGAGAAGAAACATGGATCAATGATTGATGCTGCCTCGAACTCTCCGCGAACCCCTATCGAGAGAAAAAAATAAATACCGTTTTCTCAAGGAGAAAGAACGTCGTATTTTTACCTTTATCCTTCACCCAGCGAATTTTCAGGTAATTGTTATCTCAACGAGCCGCTACATTTCTTCCGTTTCAGTTCATCGGCTCTATGGAGGTTCCGCGACCGACTAGCCGAGTGGAGATCGTGGCGGCGATGCGAAGAATCCGCGTGAGTATACCGCGTAATAGCTAATTAACCCAGTTAGAGAGGCAGCGTGGTACAGCTCTGTCTTCGTAACCGCGGATCGCTTCATTTAATCCGAACTCGTTTGATTCGCAGTACGAGTTTAAAGCCAAAGGGATCAAGAAAAAGAAAGTGACGCTGGAAGTCTCGGTGGACGGGCTGAAAGTGACCCTACGGAAAAAGAAGGTAATCCTTGGTGAACGAGCTACGCCGCTATACGTTTTGCTCGTAGCCGCACATATGATTGAACGCGTTTATCTCGCTATTAATCTCAAATCATCTAATTAACCCCTATCTAAGCCGGATAAGCTAATTCTCGTGCATTCACAATTAAGCGAATAAAGTGCATCTGCTAGACTCCGCGGGTATATCGCGCAATTTGAAGAAGAAATGGAGCCGAGGGGAATGCATTAGAACACACACAGTGGCACAGATTCGAACGATTTAAATATTCTGTTAAAGTTCTGAAAGGCTCAATATCCCCGGTGTTTGCCGAAGCTCACGTTTCTCTGTTGTTCTTTCTCGCGAGATGCGTTCTGATTCAATTGATTTCTGTTTTCCGCGATGTTACGACGATAAATATACCTTCTGCACGCGATTCCGTTGTTCGTTTGCCACATCGCGCTCAATTCTTGCACGCGGAAAAATTCCTCCTGACGACACCGAATGTAAGATATCTCCATGATGTAAGAAAAAGATCAACGTCATTGGCGAATATCGGGGGAAGAGGGGAAGTATCGCGTACGCTCGATGACGCGCATTTCGTAACAGTTGCAATTTATAACGAGAAATGATTTTGGACAAGCGCCACGTTGTATTCGCCCTGATACACATAGGCGCTATATATTCTCGATGCCATACACACGGCAACAGATAGCGGTAACAGCCAATATTAGCTAACAATATTCTCCAAGTAATCGACTCGCCGTTCGTGATTTTTTTGCAGAAGAAACAGCAGCAATGGATGGATGAGAATAAAATATATCTGATGCACCATCCGATATACAGGTGAGATTCTCGTTGCGTTCGCTCACTTGCTCGTCATAACTGTTTCTTTATCGAGTCGATTTACGTTTATTAGATTCTTTTGCAATTTATTTTACGTAATATCGAAATTTCAGTAAACGAATACGGTCGAAAATATCGCGCAAAAACAACGATGTTACCATTGTAATAACATGTGTTCATCAATCACGTATATGATGTGTTACGTGAAAAATCTCGGAAAACGATGGCGCGATATTGAGCTGCCACAAAATTATTTTCGAATAAAGCAAAAACCGAATTGTACGTTTTCTTTCATTTTTCAGGATATTCTACGTCTCGCACGACAGCCACGATTTAAAAATATTCAGTTACATTGCCCGTGACGGGAGCAGCAATACTTTCAAGTGTAACGTCTTCAAATCTAGCAAAAAGGTGAGTCGCAATTTTATTCGTCCAATAGTAACCGCATCTTCAATCTACATATCTTCGAGCTTCCTGTATCGGATATGATCTCGTGCATTAAAAAAGAATCACGCGGACGTAGTCAACACGAATTCACGCGCAATTTTTTTATGATTTACTCTTCTGTACTCCGCTACTTACAAATTAAAAAAAAAGGAAAGGATGATAAACGCGCAATCACGAAACTCGGTCGCGAGTCCCAGTTAGACAATCCTCATCCATTTTTCTTCTATTTTCGCGGACTCATTTCGCTATGCAACAGCCGGCGTAAGATTTACACGTCGCGCACGTGCGTAGATCGTACATATACGTGCGCGCCGCGACAATTCAACGCAGCCCGCCCGTCGCTCGTCGCCCGTCGCCTGGCGCTTCATCAACGTTACGTTATTGTAAACCTATAAATAAACGCGGGTGGCTCCTCGGCGGCACCCCGCCGTTCCTCCGCGTTTCGCCGATCGTTTCCCCGTCCGCGGAGACGACGGCGACGACGTTTCGCGTGGCGGAGGAGGCAGGAGGGTGGGACGCCGCCGTGTGTTCGCGTTGTGCATCCCTGTACGAAGTGAGAGTGTATTTTCGCCTTTTCGCGTAGGCGGAGGGATGGCCCGCGGTGAAACCGCGACGGGGAGGTAGCGTGGTAACGAGACCACGGGACCGCGGGACCGAGGGCGAGGGAGGGACGTCGGTTGTCGTTTTGTCGCGTATTTGCAGTGGCGGCACGGTGCCGTTTGGCACCGAGTTATTAAAATAGTCCGGTATAGGCCGGCGCGATCTTCCGCGACATCGGCGGTTTGCTGGTGACCATCAGCATCCGGCGCGGCTCCTTAAATCCGGAAACTTGTCGAATGCTCTCCGGAGGAGAGGGAGGGGGGAGTTTCACCTGCGACGGAACCTTTAGGGGGTCCGGTATTCTTCATCACGCAATTCTTCCGCGGGCGAGTACAAAAAGTCGCTCGAGAGAGAGAAAGATCTTCTGGACCGCGGATTTCCGCCGTTGACGGCGGAGGGGAACGGAGAAATTTTTTTCACGTACCCGTTGCACATATGCACATACACATGCATGCGCGCGCGCATTCTGAGCGTTCTCATACGAGAATCCCGATAGATACCGGCGAACGTAGACATTTTCGTCCCTCTCCTTTGTTGATTATTTGGGGATTCCGGTCGCTTTGAAAATCTGGGTGAATCCAGAAATAACCGGCGACCATAGGAGACGATATATCTAGGATGCCGCAGAAATATCCGCGTCGGCCGAAGTTTTGAACTTGCGATATATGCGGGCAAAAGTTCCGAAAAGCTTTTTCCCCATTCCCCGCTGCTAGTCGCCCTATTTGCTGCCGTTTACGTCAACCTCTATATGAGAACTCTCGACGACGATTACTCTGCCTAATGGACTTCCGCTTTTTTTCGCCTTATCTTTTCCGCGAGACAAGAACTCGGGCTCGAGCGTATAATACGAGGTCGTTTACTTTTGGAGCTATTTCCTCTTTTGGCCCATTCCCTCTTGGAATCCATCGTTCGCGCTGACGGCGCGGCTCCACTTTGAACTTCGTGCGCCGCGCCGTGAACTTGAGCAGTTCGCTCGAGAATGTAACGTAACAGTTTTACATACTACGCCTATAGACTCCAAGGATTTCCAGAGGAGTTTGTTTCACTCACTTGGTCGATACGTAGGGGCGTGCACTTCGCGGGGCTACGTAAGATAATTGCGAATTGTCACAGGAGGAACATTTGCCGTGGAGAACGCGACGATATATAATTTATCGGCCAGGAGACATATAGGAGTTCTCGAACGGCCGACCGTTAAATGACACGCCGCGGCCGCGCCAGGGTGGGCTGTAAAATAGCGTACGTCGTGCGAATTTCGTCGTCGCTTTCCGCGTTCTCCACGGTCTGTCGTGCGCCCCGTACCCTGCGACTCGCGATTTACTTTTGGACGCAGACACAGAGAAGTACAAAGCGTCTCGAGCCACTCGCGCTTCTTCGGTCGAGACAATCTCCATCAATCTCGCTACGGTAGAGAGGACCGGACAGATGTAATTAAGAGAATAGATGAAGCATATAAATGGGGAAGTTATTAATACGCGGTTTGACGAGAAAGGGATCAGGAAATAGATCATTTAGCTAAAGCCAGAGAATATTGTCTGACAACAAGCTGTCGCTTAATATTTGATGTTACAGAAGAAGACGTAATAAAAATTGTACGACTGGATTAAAATAGACGCGAAATAATAGTAGGCATGCAGATATTTCTAAAATCGATATCTTCTGCAAAAAAATTGTAAAACTGAATTTTAAAAATAATCACGGCCACGAAATGGAATATAGAAATGGAATAGTAGAACGCAATTGCTCGAGCAACTTCTACAATGCAGTTAATCCGAGAATAATCGCTTGTCTATATCTCAATTCTACACGGGATATAGCGAGAAGCAGAATCGCCCACGGCCGCAGTTCGTATATCAGAAATGACCGATTTAAATCTAGAATCCTCAAGTAAGTTCTCGCGGCTATTTACTCTCCGCTATTCACTCCATTTGCTATACTCCAGTTAAGAGAACAGCGGAGCTCCGGTAAATCAACGGGGTAGCTTCCGCTCCGCTACTTCATCGCTATACGCCTACGAGGAAAAGGAAGATAAAGAAGGAGCAGACGATGTGCACGAGTGTCTCGTAATAAGATAAAAAAATAGATCAATTATTTAGGATGAGCCGTAAACGAGGATCTTGCGCTTGGCTCGAGAAGACGGACGGGAGGTGAGAGAAGGAGGAGTGGGAGGGACGGAGGAGCTGCCATTGAGCGGGCCGAAAGCGAGAATATTAATGCGCTTATAAATAAACCGGAGGAAAAATCCAGCGAAGCGCGCGGTATAGGAGCCCCGCGGACGAGAGCGGGCGAGCGTTGCTCGCGCGCCTCTGCACGCCGCCGCCGGCCAAGAAACCACGGTAGGAAGCCGCACGGTTAACTTCGGCTCTCGCGTACCCGTTCGCGACGACTCGTACACAAAATCCGCGGATTACCGGTCTTCCCTCTTTTTCCCTCCCCCATTTTCCTTTTCTTTCCCTCGCGTCCTTCCTCGATCTCGTGGGCTCCCCCTCCCCCCCCCCCCCCCCCCTCCCCGATATCCGACACGCGAAATGAAACTGACGCAACGATGCACCCCGAGGCGAAACTTGCGGATGGTCTCCCGCTGACCCGCGGTCCCCCGGTGGAACGGTGGAAGCAGTGTGTGATGATGCTGCGCGAGCGGCGAGATTAAACACCGCGTCACGTTTGGTGATTGAACGATCGGGCGCGGAATTGAGAGATGCGCGGAGTGGCGTGCGAGTGGAAATAGAGAGGATTGTTTGATTACGAGACGCGCGATCGCGCGTAACATGACAGCGGCACGGTAAGAGATTCGCGCGCGTGGCGCAGCGTAACAAAGACGCGCTCTCCGTCTCTCGGGAGGAGCGTGCGCCAGTGATTTTGACGATCGAATAGTAGTGAGATACGCGTTGAGATACGCGATAACTTGTACGACGTACGAATTGACGAGTTTATTTTCATACCTTTCCCAGTTGAGAGAAGCTGCAACCTCGATGCGGGCACGTGTGTGTGGAACGTTACAGGAAAATAATTTCATAACGCACGTTTATATACTTGACACATTACTGGCCGGCGACGTATCAGCTCGTCTTTCGTTGCCCGAATATTATTGACCGGTGACTAGTTCGCTCGTGTTTAGAGAGGCATCCGGTTTAAGTCATCGTGCGAGGTTGATCGAGAAGTTGTTAGAGCTTAAAATTGAATTTATAGTTTTCATTATAGGATAATTATAGGATAGGATTGTGATTGTGTTTATCCCTCACTTTTTGCCCCGTGGTTTATTTCTCTTCTGACCTTTTGTACATCATAAACGAAATTCTGTTCCCATTGAATGACTTATGTGAAAAGTAGCAGGCTATTAGTTTCTGCATAAAACGCCCGGTCAATATAATGTGCTAGCATTCTCGTAATGAATCTCTCAGTTCGTATATCATATATCACTGGTCCGCTTATTCCGTGATTTTCTGCGGCGTCGTTTACAGAATGATAAAAAGAATCGAGGGTGAAATGTGTATACAGAGTTTACATTTGGGAACTACATCATTTTTAAATCTTCAACATTATTCTTTTTTATCTTTATATGGTGGATAATATGTAATTTAAATATCTAGATAAACAAAAAATGCGGTGGTGAGCCGCACCGAACTTCGCTTTTCGCTTACAAATTTTCTCTTTTTTTTTTTTGTCTCAATTTGAAAATTTGAGTGGAATCTTTTATGCTGAAGTCGAGAGAATGCGCGACAATACGCGACTCTTCGCGGGGAGTGGCGACGTGAGTCCGCGACAGTTTCCAAATTACGCACAATTTAGCGGGGAATTTGCCAGATTGAATTCTACGGCTATTTATAATTGAGAACTATCCGGCGCGGACAGTTATTATGCAGGCTAACGGCGGATTCTTTGAACGCCGCGGATTTGCATCCGCGGATGTAAAATAAATATAATAGATACGTGGAAAGAGAGAGAAAAAGACACGTGGATGAGGCGCGGGTTTTTTGCCCGCGAGATTTTGCGAGAGCAGACACGCGGAAATCTCGAGAGCGATCAAGTTCCGCGATTTTTGCGTCAGCGGTTACGATTGTCTACCGGGAATTGTCAATGTCGGGGTGCAACGCTATTTACTACTGCAGCGGTCGGTGCCAGGGATAATGCACTTTAGACATCCGCAAATGTTTACTTAATATAATTCGCGTCGAATATTCGCGCGGTTTCGCATACATTGACGTTCTCGCGCGCCTAATGGACCCGCCGTGTTATTTTATACGAAAAGATTATATTTTCACAATTATATCCACGTAGAACGCCCCGGTAAGAAAACATGTGAAAGAATGCAATATCCCGGACGCACAGATCGTTCTCCGAGTCGCGAAAGTTCTCTGAAAAATCATTAGTTTATGTGGAGCGTGACCTGCTAGTGTAATGAAACGTTAAGAATAAATATCCGATTTGTACAGATGAGTAGTCTCGTGGAAAAGTCTGAAGACATAAATAATCTCGGAGTAATAATCTAAGAGAATTAATTTCTTTCACGAGAGCGGACGATAAAGCTTTATTCTTCATTTAATTTCGAACAAACTTTAGATAATAGAATGTTAATTACAGGCTACGTGAATTGGAGTATTAAAATGTCACGATAAAGAATGGGGTATCTCTAGATTTCTATATCAGACTTGAAAACAAAGAAGACAAAGCAGATCCTTGACGTTTAATTGCTCGTACGCATTAGCTCGCTTGGATCACCTGGTATATAAAGTTTTATATACATGTTTACGTTCTTTATGGCCTCGACAGGCTGAAATAAGTTCAAAGGAACTCTCAGAGTAAACGATTCGCCTTTGTGCCGCGAGATGACGAATTATCTAAATAAAAAGAAAAGAAAAATGTAGCTCGCGAGAGATATCACGCGGATGACAGCATCCGCGGCTGGAAACGCGTAGAAATTCGAAGAGGACGCGAAAGACGATAAGCCATGCTCAGGAATTCCTTGAGAAGCACGGCGACGGCTTCGTCCGAGCCGTCAACGCCAACAAATCCTGGCCCCAGCAGCCCTCTGGGCTTCGAAACACCTAGGCCACGCAAGAAGCTCTCCTTCAAGGAACCGGAGACCTTCAACGGCTTGAAAACCCGCAAGCCGTCGACGCGGCCGAGAATGATACACGCGCAGAATAGCGTCGACCTCAGCTTCGACGAAAATCCTTTCGAGGAGGAAAACGAGGATCTCGATGAGCTCGAGGTAAAAATCTATTCAATCGCGACTCGTTCTTCATCGAATATAAGAAAAGGTGAATATCAAATAGCTTTCCAAACGATTGAATAGAGTTATCGAGAAATGGCCGACGTAGGAAGCTCGCTGATATGTCTTCGTAATATTATTGCTCTGAAATCTTGTAGTTTTTTTTATAATAGATATATTTGTATTATATAATAATGATGTTGTTTCTGCGTACTCGCGAAATAGCACGCGAGACAATTGGAACTCGCGAGGAAATAAAATAAATCTGATTTAATTAGAGTCAAGCGATGAGGGTAGTCCGAACTGTGGGGCAAGCTTTCGAGGTGTGCCATAAGTTAAGCATAAACAACACTACGGAGGATCGAGGGGAGAAAGACGCGGAGAATCATGGTGAAAATTACGGCGATGTTTACGAGGACCAAGACGAAATTCCTAACGAGCAATCTCAGCCTTCTCCGCCGCCGGTACATAAAGGTGAATGTCAAATGATGCTGCTTGTTGTTTCGTAACTGATCCTTTATCTATTTTGTCCGTTTCGAATTTATTTTAATTCCACGTCAGAAATAATTTTAACAAACTCACAACTATAAAAGATTTCCCTTTGATCTTTTTACTTTCATCTCCGGCTCTGTTCTGTTTATAACGCCGGTCGCTTCTCCTGCATTTCAGACATATCATTGTTGGGGGATACTGAAGATTCTGTTCCCGAGCAAACGTCCGTTACCTGTCTGCTTCGATCGCACGATGGACCGGCGACGACAACCTCTACCTCACCAATCAGACAGTCGCCGTCGGTGAGACAATTACAAACGTATAAATAGAACTAAATCGGCGTGTGCTATTTTAAAATTAAATCGTCATTAACCGAACCTGTGTACTACGCAAGTGAAAGATACTTTGTGAAATGCTTTGGCAGCTACGATGAAGTCAAAGCCTTAAAATAAAATAGCTCGTTATCTTGCTCTTGCTTTACGGTATTGTTTACCGCTCTTTTCAAGCACTGCCGAGAGGTACAAAACTCGTAAATTCTAAGACGTATCTTTTCGCTCATTTCGTAACAATGTGTCTTATTGTATTCTTATGGATTCCGAGACAATTCACTTCGCACTTTGAAGTAGCTTTTACGCGTACGTAGCTCGAGCGCTTTTCCTTTTATTTGCAATAATGTATGTGATTTACAGATTTCGATTTATTTATTTCCTTTTTTCCTTTTCACAGGGCACGGTAACCTCCGAATGCGGAGGTTTATTGGTGGGAGGCGAATTAACAGCCCTGAAGCACGAAATACAGCTCCTGCGAGAACGTTTGGAGCAACAGAGTCAACAAACCAGAGCTGCCGTTGCCCATGCGCGACTTCTTCAAGATCAGCTGGCGGCGGAAACGGCAGCGCGCGTCGAAGCTCAGGTATAAATAAGTGAATCAATTACCAGAACACATAAATATTTCGCCAACACTTGCCTACGCGCGATTTATCGCCGTACAGTCGAACCTAATTTATCGAAGATTTATCTTCATTTGTCGAGGCGAACCTAATTCAGCAGAAACAAAACGATTTATACGTTTGATAATAATTTTTTTTTTCTGTCTTTCTGTGTTCGTGTTCTTCGTCCGCGAATTTTCATCATATAAAAATGCGAAACTGCTTGAAACGCTCACGATTAACAATCATTAACGAAATTTCGATAAACAGAAAAGTTCTAACGGTATTGGGATTCTGCTTTACGAAAGCGATTGTTGTTTTGTTTCAGGCGAGGACGCACCAACTTCTAGTGCAGAATAAGGAATTGCTAGAACATATAAGTGCGCTGGTGGGCCACCTGAGGGAACAGGAGCGTGTTTCCGGTGGTCACGTCACCTCGCAATCGCAAATCCCGACGCCCGCGTCCATGCAACAGAACGCGGCGGTTTCCGACCTGTCGGGCCTCGGCCAGGTAACGCTCTACCGAATTCCATGACACGAGTGCTCCGGTGGAGTTTGGCATCGAAGCACCGACTGACCGAAACGGCGTTGCATCTCAATTAACGTTTAACAGAATGCATTTTGTACTTCCTTTTTTTCTCTCTTCTTCTCTCTTTTAATACCGTTAACGCCTTTTGTATCGATTTCTCCTTATTTTTTTTTAACTTTGTAATAAAACGTTTTGTATACATTTTTGGTTTTGCACCCCGCTCCACCCCCCCCCTTACATTTTATACCGGCGAATGTGTGCATACCTCGGAATGTTCCTTTTTATAACGCCCTGATGACTTAGCGGTGCACGCACTATGTTTTAGGCGTTTTCGTTTGGTGCCGATAAGACGTCGACGGCGAAAACAGCCGTAGCCTCGACTATTTGCATTTTTTGCGCGAGCATTTGCGCCTCGACCCTCACGGCGCAAAAATTGCAAAACAACAATCAGAAAGATCGCTGAACGAAATCTGTACTAACACCGGTAAAAATAATCGGGGGGCGAAAGAGTTTTTGTACGTTGCGAGTGAGATTTGACGCAGTGCGTTGCATTATATACCTTGTCTCTTGATCACTTACACGTGCATTTGCATCGAGGTACATGATTGCGATGAAAATGAATTTTATGTTAAGATACGACTAATCTAATAACAAATTAAGCACCAGTGTGACGGTGTTGTCTAACAGGTCTTCACACGGGATTTCGGAGTGCGTGCTGCCAACGAGTGCTAGGTAATATTACCACTCATTACTAAAATCTATCGGTGTAAATGATCATAGTCAGACGTCGTAAGATGGCTCAGATCCAAAATATTCAATAAAATATCCCAGAATAGAAAGAGGTAAGAGAACAAAGATACACAGAGTCAAGTGTTTTAGATGTACAAATCTTTCGGATAATTCGCATCTTCTAGTACGAAACCAATTCGATGATTCATATTGCAAATTTAAATTTGCGTATATTTAAATATCCAGATTTAAAAATCAAGATTATGTAATATACATATAGATTGATCTTTGATTATGTCTTTAATGCTTTATGGATCGAATCTAGAGCTTAAAACATTTTAAAACGTCTATGTATGTTTATGAATCAGAACGTCTGTGTTTTACAACGGGAAAACACTTTGATTCTTTTTTTAATTTATTACAATTCAGATAATATCAAGTCTAAACGATCTACATTGATATGACATATCTTTCTTGTTCTGGATTCTCGATTAAGGAATATAATCAAGGATCCCCTGTAAGAACAAGTACATACGATTATATAATAGCTATAAAAGACGAAGGACAATTTTGTATTTCTTGAATATCATGGGCGTCAAAGATCATGTTCCCCAAATTGCGTATTCTGGGTAGTGCCAACGGACCGGGGGCCAGAGTTCGCCATGGGAACTGGATCCACCGTCCTTTCCGTACTGCACGTATCCACCGGAATCGCTGTATTCCGGTGGTCTCGGCGCCATGGGAATTCAGAGTAATAACACCGCCGATCAGTTGCAGTTCCAAACGCAGCTGTTGGAAAGGCTGCACAACCTAAGCCCGTTCCAGCCCCAGAGATCGCCCTATAACACACCGTCGCCCTATGCGATGGGCCCAAGTCTACTTCTACCTCCGTGCAGCGGGCCGACAGTGAGTAATTCTTCGTCACAAGACTCGATTTACACGTAGGCGTTTTGATTTTGTCGCAAAAGTATATCCCAAATGACCAGAAATCAGGGGATAGTTTTTTTTTTTATAATAAATAATTAGTAAATATGACTATCTTTATTTTAAGTAGCTTAAATTTTCAACGCTATTTGAGGAAGGGAAAAAGCTCCGCGTAACACTTGACGCCACGAATTAAAATCCTGCCTCATTAATTTTCGCAAGGCGTCTCCTCTGCAACTTTTTCAGAATTCAGCCCAGCTGTCCCCAAATTCCGCGTCCCTGCGTGTCTCTCAACCGAACAGTTTCTCCTCGTCGCCGGTCATGGCTCACAAGCTCGAGAACTACGGGACAGATAATTCGGACCACGCTTTCATAAAGCCCTTGCCGTGCACCAACGATAGAAACGTGGCTCATCCGTCGACCGACGTTAAGGCCAAGCAAGAACGGCCGCAGGACCTTTCCGAGATACCACCGATAATTCTGGACCCTCCACCGCAAGGCAGACGCGCGGACAATACGGTCAAGAAAGTGAACACGAAGCAAAGTTCGCTGGCTCACGGGGCGCAGGACAACAAGAGTAATTTGCTGAGTACGAAAGGTCTGGCGACCATCCTGCGATCCTCAGGTCCGCCGCCCTCCCGCACGACGAGCGCTCGACTACCCTCGCGCAACGATCTGATGAGCGAGATGCAGCGAACGACCTGGGCCCGCCACACGACCAAATGACAGAACACTGTCGAGTACAATAATGCGAATCTGCGTAACCTTCTAAACGAAGCCGACAATTTTGTTAGAATTCGAAGAGAACACATGTCCAACTATATATACTATTAGTCATCATGAGGGAAGTTACGCGTGACTTGAGAATCTTTGATTTAAACGGATGACAGGGTTTGCATTTTCTCCTCGACCGCTCAAACTCGAATCCCAAACGTTATATTTAGAAATTTTTAAGGCGTATAACATATGATTTTTCGATACGTAAAACTGTATTGTAGGAAAAACCGAACGAATTGTCAAGTGAAAATTTGTTGCCAATAAGAAATAAGAATTTTGAGAATATCTTTTACAAAGATTTACTAGAGCTCTAGTATCGGAGTCTCTCAGTGCAGAGTCAATAAATCATCGTAGTATAGTGATGTTCCTATGACGAACGTGAGAATCGCGATTACGACAGATCGTACAATTCGTTTGCATCTTACGAGTAACGTCCGTGGAGTGTTTATAAAGATTGGAACGGTAGTCGCGTTCGAGCGAATTAGCGGATGTATACCTCACGCACGTCTCGCGTGTCCGAAGAGATGGATTGTAATACGTAATTCATATACATTTATTCGTATCGCGACATTTACAGTGTACTCCCATGTGTAAGAAAGTCGCCATTTAGCGGACGAACTTGTGCCAAAAGTACCAATCGTCTTAAGAGAGTTTATTTTCAGTATATTTTTAAGTAATGTAAAAATAAAGATAAGCGTGATCACAGAATTGCAGCAATTACTTCTTATCCCCGTCCTTGTATGCGCATCGCAGTATCGCACATTTCGCCATTATTCGAGTAGAGTAATTAAATTAATTCGAGGTATCCTATATAGAAAAGTTTGAAACATAAATATTCTATTAAGGGAACTTTTAATTTTATTAATTGTTTCTTTGTTTTTCGTGTTAGCCTTGCCCTTGACTTAACACCGAATAATTACATTCGTGATATGATCTAATATTTCTCGAGGAAAATAACAAATTTGCGTGCGAGCGGGTAAAACGTTCCCTAAGGCGATAAAAAGTGGAATGCGTGTTAGGGTGGCTTTTAGCATGCATACGTTAATGGCATGACAACATTCGTTATTGCGAATATGGGGCTGTTCAAGTTCCAGCAGACAGTACGTCGGGAGATCTTCACAAGTGACGGATCAGATTATCTCCAAAATTGGAATATTAAATCGCGAGTGTCGGACCTTTTCTCTTTTAATTATCTTTTAATTATCTTGTCGCGCATTATAAATCAGCGTACATTTCGCGCAACGTACATTTGATTGATGTGAAACGAATCAGCCGCTTCTCAATTTTTCTGTACTTGATATACGATCTCAAATCTTATTACCTGATTATCCTAGCCACTCGAGACATCCAATACGTTTTTTTATTTTGCATGTAAAAAACGATTAATATACTGTTTAATATCTCTCGGGGAACATAATTAATATTGGAAACATCATCTGTGGCGTACGGAATGCAAGTTGACTCATCTCGGTCGATGGACCAGATGAGCATTCCTGGTATTCTAAGACTAGACAAAACGTCACGCTCTTCTGGGTTTAGAGCCACGCCTCGGACATTGGCGGCTATACAGGTATTCCATTTCACTAAGAATCTCATTTTTGTCTTTTGTTACTTTCGGTTATTTCTATCTTTTTCTTTGACTTTATTAACTGCGCTGACTTATAAGCCGACTTTAAGCCGTTATTAAATATTTCTAAATCTAAAAGAGGAGACATAAGTAAAAAAACAATGTTAGAATATATCAAGAATATTTTTTATAATTAAGCCGGCTAGGACGTAACAATTGTTCAAAGATATAACGTTCAGAAATAAATAGAATAAAAATAAAGTAACTTTTTTCTCGAAAATCTTAATTTTTTTCACTTTTCACACGTTGCTCACTATTCTCTTTCTTTCTCTTTTTCACACACTGTTTTTCAACAATTTCATAAATTAGAGTGGTGGGAACTAATTTACAATAAATCGATCGTCGAAGCTCGCGAACATTAACGAAAATTACATCGGACGATGCGCAGCATGGAAATGATTTTCGTGGGATCGCGTGTAGCACGGTATACACGATAGTAATCATCCCCCTCGAGGAAAGTGATTACCTGCGAAGCAGAAGGGTGGAGTCGTACAATGAGCGAAAAATGCATGACGATGGCCATTAACGTGACCCGACACTCTTTCGGTTCTTGCCATTTTTACAAATAGCGAATATTTCTTTCGGCATAAATAATTACCTAAAATTGCGAGACAACATTGAAGACGCAAAACAGTGTTTTGTTTATGTGAATTTAGATTTGAGTGGACAAACTTCCGTATTGCATAACGGCTTGTTATGCAATGAAAAAATTAATTATTAAATACAAAATAAGATACGCTTGTTTCTATCTAAACTTTGCCTATCACTTGCATAATAACAAGAAGTATTCATTTAACCTGATAAAGTGCTTTTCTCGGTGCTTCTTAATTAAAATGCATCTATATTCTTCAGGAAATGCGAGATACTGCTAAATTTTAAGATTACGAGAGATTCTTATTTATACTTAATTTTTACTGATGAAAGAAATTAAATAATTTGTTATAAAAATATGGAAGTATTTTTTTAAAAGATAAGAAAGGTGTCAACACTATCAAAGAAGTTACAATCATTGGTTTATGGAACGGAAAATTCATCTTTGAAGCTGTTGGAATCGTTAATGCCAAACTTATTCAAGATGTATGTCTCAAATAATATAAAATAGAAATATTTTAAATGAGATATATGTTTTAAGAGATTACATGAAGAATCGTGGTTTTTGCCAAATACGCATGACTATTGCAGACACGTTAATCCTCGTTAATCAATGTAGGATGTCTCGGGGTGTGTCGCGCGTCGCGTGTGACCTCGAATTAAGAATTACCTGCCGACACGTGAGCGAAGGGATTCAAGTCGCGTCAAAAAGAAACCGAGATAAAGAAAGGGGAGATCTAAATCGCATAGAATCCATAATTTGAAACTAAGGTTTATTGGTAATATTTTGACAAATTCAATTCTCTGTACCGTAAGTATATATAGAGAACCTTGACTCATATTAAATCCAATTTATGCAAAATTCGGGGGTTGAAAAAAGTTTCATATTTTCCAAATAAAGAATTACAAAAAAATCGAATTAAGACACATTTGGACTGAGTCGTTTATTTAATCAGTATTTTATCTCGCAATTAATGTCATCTCGTGATTTATGTCATCTCGTAATTAATGAGAGATGTTTCCGATTTCGTTCGCAAAGGGGATATTTTTTGCAGTGATTTTCATGTAAATGAGTTTCAGCGATCTCTCTGGGTCGCTGAGCTCTTCATTACTCGCGTGACTCAGGGAGATCTATGATCGCTGTTCGAAGACAGTAATTGGTATCTTTCACCGTTCCTAGGTGGGTCCGTCGTCATCCCCGTCGCAGTCGCAATCGTCGGCCAGTCGACAGTCGGTTACGTTTGGTATTGTCGAGTTCCAGCGGGACAAGGATCTCGTCGAGGAGGATCAAAGGTCGCGAAGCGAACGCACGGACACGAGATTTCGCGACGACACGCAGCGCATCTCTATCGCTGGTTAGTGAAGATAATTTTCTCTCGACGCGAAGAAATCGCATCGATACCCTTCGAGTGACATGCGATTGAGAGAATGGAGAATTCTGTCCAATATCTTTTTGATAAATTTATTTCGCATTCAAATAATCAACTTGTGGCATTTTTCGATTCAAGAAGCGACATTCTCGCGAGCGAGTCCGAGCGGCACCTCGCGTAACCCGGCGCCGATGGAGAATAAGTCAACCGCGGACGGCGAGGAGACCGACAACGAGGATGATTACTCGGCGTCAGTTTGCGCGATTATGCAACGACGAAACTCGACACGACGGCAAAGTAGACGGAAACGACGTCCGTCGTCCCCGTTCGGCGACAACGTCGACGGCGTCGCGTGCCGTCGATCTTCGGTTTACACCACGAGCTCGGGAGAGTTAGTATTCGCGGCTTTCGGAAAGTTAGAGTGGACTCGAAGTCCATTGTTTGTGAGGTTTCAAGTATGATCTCGTCATAGAAATTGCGCAGGGAATAAGATTAATTATACAGAAGAAAGAGGGGCTTTTTTAAGTCACAGATCTCCAGTTATATATATTCTGCATTAATTTATTAATTTGTATTATTAAGATTCAATGTTTCTATTTGTTTTAGTTGTTCCCCTCTCCCCCCCAAGCCCCAAGGATTCTTGTAGCTTCTTTCAAGATTTTTAGATGAAAATTTTTATCCAATTTTTTTCTTTAACCGACTCAAATAGTATGCTTATCCTAATTAAAATAAAACGATATCTAGATCTTGTAAATTATATGGAGTTTATTCGCGCTCTAATTCTTCATCTAGAAACTAACGTTATCCTCTTCACGCTGCTAACATTATTGCAGCAAGAAAGATGCGAGTATTCCGCACTAAATATTATATAACAAAAATATATTATAGGTTTTATTTATCATTTATATATAACGATGAAGAAGCTCTGCTCTCCTTTCAATATTGTATAAAAAATACATATATTTTAGATAATGATCCTAGATGGATCTTTCTCATTGTAATTACTCCATTATAATACTTCTTTTAATTTCTTGTTGGAATTTTGTCTTAATCACCGAATTGCTACAGTGACTAGTATAATACTTAAATCTTAACCGTTAATTAAAGTCTTGGCTAATGATAAAATCAATAGCACGATAATTTCGATGGATGAGAGCGGTAATCAGGAGCAGATCTTCGAGAATCTCAAGCTGCACAAAGAGGTTCTGAGCGGCATAAAGCAGCAGCCTTGGCCTCTCCGACGTAAGCTCAAGCTCGTACGGCAAGCTAAAGCTTATATCAGACGACACGAAGGCGCTCTGCAGGAAAGACTCGCTCAAAGCCGCAGCACCAAAGACGTCATAGCACGCGTCTCGATTTTCATAACTAAGGTATCGATTATGCTGTAAAAATTTAATAAAATAAAAAATCAACAGCAGCGAAAGAATTGCAACAACTGCTCTCTTTCATCTATTCAGAAATGGCAGTATTTCCGACGTGAGCTGATCAATCTGCAAACGTGGCTCATACCTTGGGAGGTCCGTATCATGGAGATAGAATCCCATTTCGGTTCCGCTGTCGCGTCCTACTTCACTTTTCTCCGTTGGCTCTTCTGGATCAATCTCGTCATCGCGGCAATCCTTACGGCGTTCGTTGCGATACCTGAAGTAAGATAATTTTAGTCAGCAGAGGTAAAACTTTTTTTTTCTTCTCCAGTTTTGCCGGTGTATTAACAAGATACCTAACAGAATAACTTTTTTTCAACTCTTTGCCAGGTATTGATTGCAAACGTGACTCTCGCCGGCGAGAGGAAGATCATGCTGAAGGAAGAGGCCGTCAAGTCGAAGCACCTGTTAACTTTGTGGGAATTCGAGGGCGTGCTAAAATACTCCCCGTTCTTCTACGGGTGGTACACCAATCAGAACTCGAACAGCAAATATAAATTACCTTTGGCGTACTTCGTCACCAATCTGGTCGTATACACGTACAGCTTCGTCGCAATTCTACGCAAGTACCGGCTGGATCTTTTTTTATGTTGTATCTCGCAGCACAACTTGTTTCACGAACCGTGTGAACTGACAATCGCATTCCTCCAAGATCTTTTGATACAAAAATTCGCGAGAAATTAGGAAGAGTTCGTTGCTATATACATCATTTCTTGAAGGAAGATGTGCCACAAGCATATTTCAAATAAAATTATATATTACCTTCGCAATGTATGTAGAAAGCAAGCACGTGGGTACTTTGTTTCAGAATGGCGGAGAACTCGCGTTTGAGTAAGCTGACCGAAAAAGAAGACGAATATGTTTTCTCGTGGAAACTCCTCACGGGATGGGACTTCATGATCGGTAATCCGGAAACTGCTCACAATCGTACAGCCAGCGTAATACTGAGCTTCAAGGAGGCTCTATTAGAAGAAGCGGAGAAACAAAAGGATAAGAGAAAGTGAGTTCTGTTAATAATATTATAACATTAGACGTTATGTACGAATGCAGCGGCAATTTTCTTCCTCGGATTTTTGGTTCTACATCACATTGCTCCAATCGGAAATTTCAATCATTTTTAACGGAGAGATTATCTTCCTAACGTTTCTATAGAAAAGAAGCTGACCAAGGGATCTTTATTGCATTTAGAGTTATATATCTCATAGAGCATATGCAGTATATTCATAACTATGTTTCGCAGCTGGAGAATCATCTCGATGAGGATATTCGTGAATATAGCGGTACTGTCGTTACTCGCGCTGTCGGCGTACGCCGTGATCGAGGTGGTTGAACGGAGCACTACGAAGATCGATTTGCCGAACTGGTGGCGGCAGAACGAGATTACGATTGTGATGTCTCTGATCTCGTACCTCTTCCCGATACTCTTCGAGATCCTCGGCTTCCTCGAGAGCTACCACCCCAGGAAGCAGCTCCGAATGCAACTAGGACGGTAAAGGGAGCTGCTTATTAATCACGACAAAGTATACTTTACTATGCAACCAAGTGAATGGTTCCGTTTCAGGATAATGGGCTTAAATCTATTGAATCTCTACTCGCTGATATTCGCCCTGTTCCGCAAGATAAGCTTTACGGTACGTAATTCGTTTTATCGTACGTAAATTAAAATAGCGCAAAGAAGAATATGACACACGCAACATTATTTTCGAATTTATATTTTGTCAATATTTTACACACTTAGATCCTATGGTGCTCACACAATGGATGTATTTTTTTTTCGCAGAAACCCGATATTAAACCGACAACCAAGTGCGTACGTAAATGGGTACCGTGCGACGACAAGACGACGCGTACGCAACAAATCATGACGTTGGCATCTTTGAGCCTTGTTTTAATAAATAATGCCACCCACTCTTATGCTAAGAGAGAAATATCGGAGCCAAGTATGATCTATTTAAACAAAATATTTCCGATAGACGTATTGTGCTACTCTTCTCATTTATTGCAAATCTTAGGAAATATTTCAGTCATTGTGTAATATCTCCTTGTTTTGTTGAACTTTAAAGCGGTTATGAATAATGATTTGTAAAGTAGAAATTTGCTTTTACAGCAAAACGAATTAACGGACTCAGGAAATAGCAAATGTGTTTCACGGATATATTTTGTTTCGCGATTTCTCGAAAATTTAATCGGAATGATTATTTTTTTCACTCAGCACTGCCGTCCATCAGGCAAGAGACCTACTTCCTTAATCCTTTGCTGGACAACGATACTTTATATAAGGATTTCAATGATACGTATGATTATAACGATTATAATACGGATTACGATAATTACCGGTACGAAACTTCGCGTACGGAGAGCGGCGACGAGTCCTTCACCATGCCTTATTATGAAGAACAAGATACCAGGAGTGCGGATAATAGTGAAATACATTATGACACAAGCTCGACAGTAACTGCCAATTTTCTGACTGATTCAATGACGACTGAACATTTCTATGCAAGTTCTACTTCGTCCCAGAGCGAAACCACGGCGACAACGTTCGAATCAAGCACAATGGAAGGTATATTGCATTGCACTTCTTGCGTCTATTGTACTTTACGCGGCCAATTAATAATTACGCAGATTTATTACAATAATTATATTATATTATTTGGCTTATATAACCGTTTGGAAGAGCTCAATTTTCTGAAACTATATTAAACTATCTTAAATATTTAATTAATGATCGTAATAATTGACATTGAGTTGACAATAGTTTCAAATAATATATCATATGTCGTCGCAGATTCTTCGAGGACCGATTTTGATAATTTCACCGAAATATCAATAATTACTCCATCGTCTTCAGACAGTCAGACACCATCCGTTGGAACATTTAACGTCACATCCACAATAGCAGATATCACACCAATTACAACGTATATCCCGAAAAGTAACTTTCCTACTGCACAATCGAATAAACCTGTAATTCCCATTTCAAAAATCAATTATGTGGATAGATGCTTCGAAAGAGTTTGCACTACTATGCCGAAAAATTCAGGTAAAAATGCTTTTATCAAATCTATTTATTTCATTGTACTACTCGTTTTTAGCAGTAGATGAATTTATTTATGTTTTCAGCCATGTCTTTGGAACAGCTAGATCTAACGACACGACAAAAGCTGCGCCGATCATGCTGGGAAACTATGTTTGGGCAAGAGCTCGCTAAGCTCACTGTCATGGATTTGGTAGGAAACATAACGAAAAAATTAGGATCAATAAAAATTATTTATTATATATTTTTTAAATACGGCTGTTTATCAGATACTCACCATATTAGCCACTCTCTGCATGGATTTCTTCCGCGCCGTTTTCGTGCGTTTTATGAATAACTGCTGGTGCTGGGATCTGGAGAAGCAATTTCCGCAATACGGCGACTTCAAAATAGCTGAAAATATCCTCCATTTGGTGAACAATCAAGGCATGGTTTGGATGGGAATGTTCTTCAGTCCCGGTTTAACGGCCCTGAATCTCTTCAAGCTTGGCATTCTAATGTATTTACGTTCTTGGGCAGTTCTGACGTGCAACGTACCTCACGAAGTAGTTTTCAGAGCCTCCAGGTTATTGAGATTAAAATCCACTATTTGCGAAAACCATGTCATACTTTTTCAGTTTTTATCCAACAAATTAAATAATCGAAGTGCCGCCTTTATAAATAATTAAAAATCGCGCATCGTATTTGAATCGTTCCTTTAGTTTCATATACTTATTCACGATTGTTCGCCACGATCACTTTTGATATATTACAGGTCTAACAATTTCTACTTCGCGCTGTTATTGACTATGCTGTTTTTATGTGTGTTACCGGTCGGTTACGCTATAGTCTGGGTCGAGCCTTCGTGGCATTGTGGCCCATTTTCTGGTTATCCAAAGATTTATAATTTAGCGACGCAAAGTTTGAAAGACTCGCTTCCGGAGCTGATTCAACGGTACGTCTCTGTTATAGTAGCATTTGACTGCCTTTACAATGCAAATTTATTTGAAACTTAGATTACTTTTTTATTGATTGCAGTCAAAATAACTATGCGTCTTAAATATACAATATAATCTTTGAAAACTTTATCTCCGTTTAGATGTCTCGATTATGTCGCATCGCCTGGTATAGTGATACCACTGATTGTTCTCATGACGTTGATTATTTATTACATGGCATCTCTCGCTGGATCTTTACGAGAAGCGAATAATGATCTAAAGGTAACAACATACATATAAAGAGAATATACATATTCATCAAGTTGTATAATGTTTAATATTTTATACTCAATTATTATTATTATTGATTTTATGCTTACATATATAAATGCGTTTTTCCAGATACAACTAAGACATGAGCGTACAGAAGAACGTCGCAAATTGTTCAAAATAGCGGAGAAGAGGCATACCGTGACTGAAACTCCGCTATCGAGATGGAAAAAAATTCTCCCGGCGTTGCCACAGACCAGAATATCTCGAGATTCCGAGACGGTTCAAAGAGATAACGTAGAGATCACGATTGGGAATGCGAACGATACAACGGAAAATGAACGATTGACGAACAACATAGAAGAAGATTCGCCTCAGAAGCGGGTATGGTCCGATGTCGACAACGAGCAACGAGCTGAAGAACAGGATGATTTGACATTAAATGATGTTATATCTCCTAGCAGAAGGTATGATAATAATAATTGATTGTGGAAGTGCTTGCCATTTCGTGGCAAGCTTTTCTATGCAAGCCTCAAATAAATAAACTACATATTTAAGAATGTCAAATATATCGTGTTACTAAATCGCCGAATCACGCAATAAATGATTCTCACAAGCAGGATAAGCGTGGTTGAATGTTCTTGGGACTCGCCGACGAGCGGGCAAAGTGTTATCATACCGGAAATCCAAGTAAATGACGAGGAAAAAGTTGCATCCGACGTTCACGGAACTGTGGAATTGGGCGACGTGTCTAAAGATGACAACCAAAAGATAACGTAACACAAATTGAATGTAATAAATAAGACAATTATTTAAAAAATGAAAGAGAATAGTAATATAATTAGTATTTTTCATACCACCTTAATTTAGCAAGGATCTAAGAGATTCTGAGAATTTTGTACTAGTCTGTAAAAAAATATTGAAAGTCAATTCTCTTTAGAATTATAGATTTAGCATTAGTATAGCTGATAATCGTTTCTCAAGGGAGCGCACGGCGTCCATATTACGTTTACTCCTACGATCGTAGATTTGCTAAAATATGAAATTTGCAGACACTTTGTGATTATTGCGTTTATTTCTACAAATATATGTGTAAAATGTCTATAAATATGTATAAATAACTATCGCACATTGCTGAAGACAACGTGAAACAGCTGCCTCTAAACTTCCGGATTCACGACGGATCATCGAAACGCACGTCGTACATACAAAATCACACTTTGATTGAGCATTGGCACATTCCTAATATCTTTATCTTATCGTCAGATATTAAATTACGTATAAGATATATATAACATTGAGCTGTTCCGAGATTATTTATACGTATACCAATATATCCTGCGTATATAAAGATATATACTCCTCTTCTCCTCATCAAACGTACGATTCAATCTCACGTTAGCATAAGTTAATACAATTGTTCTTATGTAACTTTTGTTAAAAAAAAATCATCGATAACGAGGAACGTAAATTAACTGTGGAAGGAAAAAGCTATTATGTTATTTTGTAGCACAATACTAGTTACAAATTATCTTTGCGTTCGGATATCTTTCTATTTTCGTTTTCGCTTACCGATAAATATTAGTTTCTTTCGCCGATAGTATTTAGTATTTATACAACTCGTCATATACAATAAAGAACATATCAGCACCTTTGCGCCAAGCGCTTACGCTGCTCGTCAAGCAGCACCGACGCCTCGCTCATAATTTTAGCAGTGGTTCGTACCAAGAATAATAATTGATATTCGTCTATAACCGTCAGAGCTGCCTTTGTCTTGATGAGAGCGTGAAGTACGTTCGCTCGCTCGAGGTCGAGCCATCTTTGAAGCGCCCCTTCCCTTTCCCGCGGACCACCGAGTGGCACATCGGCTGGGCCCCACAATGAAAATTCCAGCACGGATTTTACCTAATTGTCAAAGGAATTAAATTAAGTTAATTTCATCGGAAGGATATAGATTGCTGACAACTGAATTAAATGTAAGTAGAAAGATGAGACACATAACAACAATTGTGGATACATGAAAAGAACTGGATATTTGATAGCAACAATCTTTGGCGCAAGCTCGGCTTAAAAAAAAGATACAAATTTAATAATTAAAAAAGAATGCAGACACAGTAAAATAAATTTGCAGTTAAATTGAAAAGATTCACAAACTCTGTACGTGCGTTCCGCGAAATTAGAATCAAATGGAAATGAGTTCTTACCTGCGAGAGTGTGACCGCTTTCTCGCGTATCAGTAAATCTTGTATGAGAGGTAGCTCGCCTGTCAGATGCAACTGTTGCAGTGCTATTAGAGCGCACTCGCACAGAGAGACTCGTTCCTCGCCAGGCTCGTCGCTCGGGTCTATGTTTAACCTCCTACAAAGCGGAAGTTAAACGTTGAATAACGGGACCGCGGAGGTCCGCGCGATTATTATACCGCGTCAAGTTGTCGTCTCGCGAGAAAATACTAACCCTTGCAGGAGGTAGAGCCGATAATAAACGTCCTCTCTGCAGAGTACAACGTCGCTTAGAGATCTGCTGGCGTCCTCGATCCCGCGTGCTTGAAGACTCTTCAGAGCGTTGACCAGTTGAAGAAGGACGAACGACGCCTCTCTGCTCGCGCCCTCGCCGTTCATGTCCTTCGACATCGCTCCGAACGATTGTATGGTGGTGACATGCAGGCACGGGAGGACCGAAATTGTCGCTACAACAAAGAAATTATTGTTAAATATATCTTTACATTTTTTAAAAATATTTTTTGCTGAATTCCGGCGTGTATTACCTTCGACATCTTCGTTCTCGGATGGTCGGACCTTCTCGATTATTTCTTTCGGAACTTTATCTACGAATTCTACAATGGGCGTCAGATAGAAGTCCTTTTGTGGCATAGGCATAGCTAAATCAAACGCTATGCAGAGAGTGACATTTTGATCATTCCACGTCGCCGGACAGAATATCCTTCTACCAATGGAGACTGATGACGGAGTGTCGACGTTGAAGTGCTTCAACCGTGGATTCGCATTCTTGAGGGCACGCAAACTTGACGGAAATTGGACAGTTTGATTTTCCTGAAAATTCGTAACTGTCAGAAAAAAATAATATTTTATAATAATAACATTTCATTGTTCACGTAACAAGCTCAAAATATTCCGTGCAACTTTCATTCAGGGAAATTAATTATAGTCGAAAGTCTGTAATAAAAACTGCAGATACAAGTTACGCCTAAAAATTTTATACGCGTGCACAAACAAGGATGTACAAATAAATAATGACAATATACAAAGCTGACATGCCTGTTCGAGAAATTGGGCGAGTGCTTCGTGATTCGCCACAACCACCGCGCCGTAATTATCTTCGAGGCTTCGATGGACGATGGTTCGCCCCCGGCGTTGCCTCAAGCGGCCCATCCTCGGCTCGTCGTCCGTGTTTTTCCAATCCTGATCCTCCTCGGCGCCCTGGTTTCACACGCGTTCGATTAGAAAGGTAGATTTAGTCGAAAACAAAACGGAAGAACACGATGACGTACCTCGTCACCGGTGTAGAAAGTATACGGCGCGTAAAGCTCGCTCTCAGTCTCGCTGCCGCAATACGGCAACGAGATCGATCTCACGAACGAGGGTTGATGATGAACCTTTGACTCACCGACCACCGCACTGCTGTCGGACTTCCTCTTGCATGCGGCGCGGAATCCGCCTCCACTTCCGTGCCGCAGCTCGAGATTCGAATCGCACTCGGGCGAACTCGAGAGGCATTCGTACACATGGCTGTCGTTGGATGTCTGTTGAAATGCAAGTAATCGCTGTACTGCTAAGTCCCGAGGCGATTCCGAACGGTATCATATACGACGACTTATATGTTCACATATTTCTAGATATACATATTCTTGCCAATTTTTTTTTCTCTATCAAATTTTCAAGAGACTATTACTCTGTCCAACTATTATTTTGTCGTATCTTTTTATGTTGCAATCAATAGACGAAAAGAAAAGATAAATATTTTGACAAATATATGTGTCGTTGGCTATATTATCAATTTCATATTATATATAAATTCAAAAAAATAAAGTGTACTTTGATCTACTTTCCTCTAGCGTTTCTTTTTTTCCCACTTGACGATAAAAACTGCGCGCAGGAAATTATTGTGATAACAATTACAGCAAATTATTTTCACTCTTTACCTTTCCCAAGATCTAGGAACGTTCGCCCGCATATAAAAAATGCAGCGTGTAAATATTGTTCGTATCAAAGTTTTCATGCTGCATGCAGTCCAACAATAGTAGTCAATTCGCATTCGTCAACGTTCGCGTCTCGGAGCCGGATTTAAGAAAAAGTATTTCTTACCGGCGAGTCGGAAGTAAGTCGCGCAGGGACGAGACCGTCGTAATCCCGGTACCGATCCTCAGCGGTCGCCCTTTTCGGGACGGGTTGGGAGATCGCTCGGTCCCTCATGCTGGCGGTTCTTTGGGGTTTCGAGGGTGCCAGGGCGCTGCGCACCTCACCTGTAACATCCTCCGCTGCTGCAGGCACGATCCGCCATCGTCAAGCGCCACGGGTTAGTACCACAAGACACAAGGCATGTCAACGAAACGGGCTAGCTATGCGGGCTGGCTAGTTCGCCTAACGCGACTAGAGTACTGGAGGACAGTGGAGGAACGCCGCGCGAAGTCGGATTCGACGTTGGCGCATACAATGAACGTTAGTTCACCCATTGTTCCACACGTGTGGACTAATTGCTATCGGTATACATGCGTGGATTATTTTCTTCTAACGTTCGGTGTCTCTGATATATTGAGTCTCTGATCTGACCCCGATTTTGCGCCCAAGCATTAATATACGGCGCTAACGTGGACCATGTATCTTTCCGCCGACGAAGCTTTCGAGCAACGTCCATCACGCGACACATGTCACGGAATATTGTGACTTTTCAATAGTAATTTCAGTTTCTCTGGGACTTATAAATCGGGATCGACGTGAGTGTCTGCGAGCGGAGATCCTCGAGTGTTTTTTTTACAAACGTACGTTATGTCTTTTTTAATTCTTAATTGAACTAAAAGACTCCGTACGAGATGCCGATCACAGCGCATGCAATGCGTGCGGCGTTAGTTGCACCCAGCGTCGGTTAGAGGAGTCCACGACTAACGTCTAACGTTGCTCGGTGGTACGCACCACCGCGGAAAGAGGAAAAAAATGAAGAGGAAGTAAACGGAGAGAGACGTGAACGCGGATATGCGCGCCGTTTACGCTTGAGTAGTCGCGCTTAGTATGTCGGCGCAGCGGACGTCGCCGTTGTTCGCGTTAATGAGAGGAGGAGGAGACAGAGAGAGAGAGAGAGAGATGTGGAGGTGCAACGAACAAGCCACAGCATCGGGGGATTACGGCACACGTGAATCGGCGCGATAGAAAAGAACGAGAGAATGACCGGGAGAGCTAAGCGATCGAAAGAACAAGACTCTCTAATTTCTTTTTTAAACAATATACGTTTATTCAGCAGATACAAATGTTCTGTATTACAGAGTTCTTGCCTTTTGCACTCTTACAACGAGCACTTTGTCGACGAGTATAACAAATAGCACAAAAATAGCGTTTTTATTTTACCAGCCATTCTCAAACTTTATATTGTAATCTTATCGCGGAAACTGGCGTTGCGAAAGCAATCGTGTCTCAAGAGTAAAAAGCTATAAGCCTTCAATCAGTATTGCTTAATATTACGTTATGTGAAACGATACCGGTGCTTGACAACCGAGTCTCGTCCAAAAGAATAGGAATAAATTCTTTCAGTAAACATTACGAAACATTATTATCGGTGTAACACACATATCACAGAATATTGTGACTTTCCAAGAATATAATTTTAGTTTCTTTAGAACTTATAAAGTCCTCTACCTTATTAAAAAAATGTCGTGTTTTCGCCATCGGGAATAATCACCGAAATTTGAACTCAATCATTACGTCTTAGTTTCAAAATTCCGATTTTGTAACCCGGCCAACTGCGCGACGCGCAAGGTTTAATCGCATGCGATTCGTCAAATGATTAAAAAAAAAAACATCTATCCTCCCCGAGGATGCAAGTTAAGGCATCATCACGTGGCTCGGTCGCTGTACCCACGCAAGCGAAATAACGTCTCTCCCGTTTTAAAAAGCGACTGGCGCGAGGATTCGTGTGAGTATGGCTGTTAACATCGAGAATAATCGCGACGATTAACTCAGTTACACTGTATAGGCCTGAACTTACCCAGATTCGCGTAAATCGAGTCCGAGGTCGTCGCGGCAGCCGGCCTCCAAGTGGCTTTCGACGTTTTATCGTTCCTGGAGGAAGCAAGGTTCAATTTGATCTCCGCGCGAGGTGGCGGCGGTCTGACCGGTTTATTCGCCGAATCCAGCCTCGACCAATCCTCGAGGGATTGGTTCCTCGGCGGCGGTGGTGGTTTCCCGGGCCTCGCTGCAATAATAACGTAGCGTCTCTTTCTCTGTGCGATAGGGTTACGTTTGTACGTTATGTACACGTACAAATATACGCTTTCGCGTCTTTTGATAATTTAAAATGTCAAATTTTTCGTATGTTTGAAATTTCATCCAAGTTACAAGAAACTCGTGCTTACCCGCGACGGATGGAGAAAACCGCGTCGTCCTTGAGCCGTCACTTTTAGCACCGCAGGAATCGGTCTGGTCCTCGCCCATCCTGGCGATGATCCTATCATTTCCCACTACCTCGACCGCGGCACCGTCCAACTCCAACGGATGGATTATCTCTAATCGCGGTTTCGGTTGCGGCGTCGACGGTATCTCGTCGGTTTTCGCGCCCGACGTTTGACCGGTGATAACGTCCATGTCCTTCCTCGTGCCCATTCTCAGGAACCTCTTCAGGGAGAAACCTTTCCGATTTCTACCCCTTTTCTTCTCCTCCCGCATTTCCTTCTCCGTCGCCAAGCTGTCCTGCGACAGAGATATCGTTCGCCTAGGCACGGACTCGACCGGAAGTTTGACGCTCTCGTTCGTTGGATCCGGCAGATCGCAGACCGCCTTGCGGAACTTCGGACTGCACGAAGACGATCTCTCTCGCTTCTCTTTCTCGCGAACGACCGGGGAATCGGACTTCAGATTAGCCCCGGGATTCCTGGCGAATAGAGAGGAGACCGGCAAAAGATCCTCCGTGGCCTCCGGCGGTCGCGGTGCCATTCTTCTCTTGTTTGGCGAGCGTATGAGCTCCATTGTGGAGACGGAAACCGGAGTAATTTCCGGAAACTCCTCGTCTGGCACGATATTCTCATCCACTTCTTCGTTATTCGTCGAATAGTTTCGCGAGGAGGCTGGCGGTGCGATCACGGAATTAAACAACGGCAGGAGGGCGGATTTCGGTGAAGTTTTTACTTGATCTCCAGAATCCGAGTTTTCGGCTGTAATGGTTGGCGAGATTTCATTGGTCTCCGATAAAATCTCGTTTGTAACGTTCTTCTTCGTTGAACACCGAGAGCTCATGTCTTGCGTACCTAGAAAGAGATAGTAGCACACATCGTAATGATATTAAAGCTGCATAAGGGAACTTTTCCGAAAAGTCAATGAATAAAAGATGCGACTAATTGTAATAAGGTATAAGAAAATCTTTTTATGTTATATACTTTCGTTGTAGCGATATCTATATACGGTTGTAACTTGCTGTTTTGTAAACAAATTAATTTTAACTAAAATAAAATATGATATATAATTCCTCCTCCGTTCCCAAATATTAAAATTCAAATCTCAAAAATAAATAATTTAAAATTTCAGAAAATTTCGATAGAACGTAACACAATAATTAGAAGCAGTCTTTTGAGTATTTCCGTCTTTTGAGTATTTTAGATTAAATGAAATATAACAAACATTTAAATTATTAAATTAACAGATAATTTAAACAATATTTCTCGTTTTTTTTAAATCGCATTTTGAACGAATCGCGAGACTCACCTAAATTTTGAACGGGTCTACTGGCGACAGTTTGGACCGACGGAGGTGGTAACACGTAATCGCCGTTGAGAATTTTCTTCACGGCGAGCGGACCATCGTTCAGACTCGCCTTTGTGGGAAAGATCACCGGTTTCTGCGGCACGGCGGGCTTCGCCTTCGAGTCGTTATTAACACCACCGTGTAGGAAGGAGGGCCTTGGTTCCGTGGTTATGATCGGCGGCGGACTAGTGGGCAACGCCGGTGGTTCCGTCACTTCCTCGTCTGCTTTGCCGTCCGGTTCGCCCGCGAGCTCGCGACTGCTATCGAAACAGAATTTCTTCCGCTCCGCGCCCTCGCACTCTCCATCAACTTCGCGCACTTGCGGCGACGGAGGTTCCTTGACGTCGTCGACGCCGTTAACACTCCTGTCGCCGACATTCATCGATCGATCGCTCTCCGGTATTTCCTCGTTCTTCAGAGGCGTCAACGAGGCGACCTCGACTCTCTCTTCCTTCCCTTCGTCTTGTTTCGCACACTCGCTTTTATTCGTCGTCGTCCTCTTTACGCTCTCTCCCATGTCGTTACTTGGCGCGGATTGCGCAGACATCCCCGACGAGGTCTCGATTTCAGTCTTCTTTACTGCTGAGACGGTGTTAAGGGAAGCATTTGTGGCGTTCCTCTTATCGACTTTACACAAGGGCGAGTATTTCTGCACCGTTGTTTCCGTCTTCACCGCATCCGCGTTGGCAGTATCCGTCGTGATCTCTCTCCGCATGATAGAAATCATATTGGCGGAAGTTATCAATGGCATGTCTACGATCTTCCCTAGTTCCAGGGAAGATTTTTGTTCTTGTTCTTCGGTCTTCTTCCGCTCTGGTCCATTGAGCTTTTTTACGGCCTTTAACATTTAATTAAATACATTCAATTTTGCTTTATCAAGATCAAGATACTCAACTTGTATCTAATTAAACAAATAATTAAATACAAAGAGATTCTTCACGATAACATTTATTCTGTGATGCTTTCGTTGTACTTACTCTGGCAGTGTTATCCGACGATCCACCATCATCGGCTTTTAATCTGAACGGACTGGTTTGCAAGTTGACCGTGTTGATCTTTCGATCGGTCGGCCTCTTGGCGGTGGGTACGGACTCTTCTCCGCCGAAGGGCGTTACGGACACCAAAAGAGTCGTTTTTCTGCCATCGGCGTCTCGCTGTATCCTACCCAGCATCAACGAGGCGAAGGACTTGGCAGGTGACGCCGTCGACGACTTGGCCGCGTCGTGATGCGAACCATTGTTCTCGACGTTCGTCAGGTTCGCGGTGACCGTGTTGAAGTTCGTGTTCGCGCGGGTCAGGTCGAATAACGCGCGCTCCTCCTCGCTGTCCGGCACCAGATCCTCCGATTTCGCGGAGGAATCGACCTGAGATCCGTCCCCGTCCTCCTCGCCGTCAGAGAAGTCATCACCGCCGTAACCGATCACCTCGGTGAGAGACTCGGGAAAACCGACGTTCTTTTTTCGTTGATTTTTCCGACAAATCGTCTTATTGCCACGGAGGATACTCTGCAAGGTTATTCGATCGTCTGATTCCAATCGGGACGGGACGTCTTTCTATCGCGACGTAGCAAAACCGGAAATGTTTTAATCAGTAATTAATCGGTAATAATCATCTCCGTTCATTGGACGTAGTTACGCGAAATGTAAATAACTTGAAAAACAAGTTTTTTTTCAATACGACTCTAACGACATACACAGTGGATAGTGTTATCTTCGTATAAAATATTATTTAATATATATTAATTATATGTATAGATTTTTTAGATGAAATATTAATTAACGAGTGCCGTATACATATAAATTGAGCTAAACGATAAATAATCTAAATCGTATAGAAATGATATAATAATTATATAATTATATAAGTTAATAGATACATAAACAAAGTATACAAACATGTAATTGATTTAATCTAATTATTCACGGAAAATTGAGACTTACACCTAAATGCAATGCATAAATATATACCGACATTTATAACAAATATACGATGCATCGTACAAGTCAATACCTGCACCTGAAGATGATCAATCTTCAGATTCGTGGAAGCCTTCTCGACATTCAGTCGCAAGATATCGTCAGCCGGCGCATGTTCCTCCTTCGGTTTGAAGCAATTCGAGCAGAGCTCCTTCTTCCAGGCATTTTGCACGAAGCGATTGCATTGTGTGGACATTGTTGCCTCACCGCGACACCGACAGCGAAAGTCCCGTTACATCATCCTGAAAGGAAAGAGATGAAATAGTAATCGATTTGATTCTACAGCCGGTGCGACGATCAACGGTGAATCGTGCACGTGCAGCGAACGGACGTGATAGCGCGCGAGAAATTATGTATCGCTTAGAGAAAATATACTTACGCGTGAAATAAATTTGTCCAGAATTTTAGCTCTTTTTTTTTCAAAATATTTCATCCGAACATTGGATATCTGTTAAAAGGTCATCATTACGGGTGGTCAATTGATTGCCGTTCCCTATAGAATTCGCTTCAATGACGAAGCACGGTTGTCAACGAGCGATTACGTTGGATGGTCATTAAAAACGAAAACGAAACGAGTGAGTACATTTTCCTGTCCGCAACGTCGGCATCAGCGGCTACCGCGGGAATACAATCGGGACAATTGACTGGAGCTGCCCGACCGGCTGAGTAATTGCCTCACTTCCGGTCTCGGCTTTATTTGCAACAGCGAATGGCCTAGCCCGTACCCGTCATTAGCAAGTAATACGTAAGAATATTGTGCCATCGCAAATTTTTATTTTCACGAAGGTAGCCGAGAAAATTGAGCAGTTTTTCCGACATAAAAATGAAAGAGTTCCATTTTACGCTTTACGCTCTGGACATTTCTTTAGATTGTTTCTATTCTAAAATTGTGTTTCATGAAAAGCTGTTCGCTTTTGGTCGTATCAATTAATGCATTGTTAGTGAAACAGCTGTTTTTACAGATTATATTATTCAAATATGATATAAAACACTATTCTGTATAGTTAACGTGACGCAAATTGAAGGGATTTGTTAATGTTTCCATTCAGACAACGTCACAGGGAGCAACGACGCAGGGACTTCTCATCCTCTCCCTATTGACAAATATTCACAGTCTATTGCAAAAGTTGCGAGACTGGAGAACCACCATCTCTCTCCCATCGTTTAGATTTTAATCGCACAGGGAAAATCGCGTGCGCGACACGCCGGAACGAAGGATATCATCGAGGATGAAAAGACATCGCATGACGACGTCCACGGTAATGTCCTATTAGCATGCAGGACTTACGAGTAAGTACTCGCAAACCAGGCACGAAGTACCGTTGCCGATCTCGTTGATCCGTTACGTCTCTCGCGTTGCCGTCCGCGCCTTTCGTGCACGTGAAAAGTCTGCGACGCGGCCACGTAAAAATTTGGAGTAACATCGAGAACGTGCTTCATGGCTGGATACCGAGATCAATACACCACTCTCAGAAAATTAGGAAAGAATTCTTTGCCAGTTTCAAAATAGAAAAAAAGAAAAGAAAAAAAGATTGAATAGCAGTTCGTGCTTTAGCGTCGAGGCAGGCGTAATTTTCGTGACAAAGCAATAGAAACTTTAAGGTGATTGATTATTTAAATGGGTTAAAGAAATGGGATTCAAGAAGTTTAGGTAGACAAATACCCAAAGGTGCTGTGTTTAGAATGTGCTGTAGCTCTACGCTTTAACAAATTTCTAAAATTAATTTTCTAACTTTTCCAACTGTATATGCAGTAATCACATATCTTTATTTCTGTATAAATTTATATTAATAGAATATTATTTTTATATCATATATTTTAAAAGATTAAAAATGATCTGTTAAAGATATATAACTTTTTTTCTTAAGTATATCTTTCGAAGATAATTTGATGTGGAAGTAAGATTCTTAATTTGTCAATGTAAACTACTGAAATCGAAAGAAAGAAAGAAAGAATTATGCTAAATTATTTTTTTATATTTTATATCACAACGAATAAATTTAATGCATGAACTTCAATAAAGTCGCTTGTAAAATGTGTTATTATTAATGTTATTAATTAAATATGCAAGATAAATTTTATGCAAATAATTAAATAGCAAAAATGGTCTACTATAATTAAATTTATAAGCAATTTAATTAATATTATTTTCTCTCTCTCTCTCTCTCTCTCATTTTTCTAAACCGGCTAATCGCGTTAACTCAGAATGCGCAAATCTTTTATTTGACGATTCCGAGTAACTGTAGATTTATGATAATACCACTTTGCAATTATTAATAAATTAACGGTTACCGCACAGCTGTACACAGTAATCGTCGTGTGGTTAACTGGTTACTACTTGGAGATTATTTTAAATTAATCCCGTGTCTATATAGCAACATAGTCTAGAAAAGGGATAATCCCCTTATGTTTTTACACAGAATCGTCTGGGTCGCTACAAAGTTCCTTTCTTCTTCAGTTACAGAGCCAGACCTCGTCGGGACTTCTCATTCCATTGAGATGACGCGTGGCGTGGCGCGCCAAGGCATGGGCGGACGAAGAGCAAGGCGAGGTTCAATGCCAATGAATTTTACATATTGCAACACTCGAAGGCTTTAACCCTGCAGTGCTGTCGGGAAGGCAGAAAGTACTCGAGGCTTTATTATTTGCGGTATAAAGTCTCTAGAATGTAATTATCTGTTTCAAATTGTCTAGAGAGAAATTTAATTATAGCTCACAAAAAATAGCTTCAGAATAATCTCAAGATTACGAGAAAAAAGAAACTGACTGAAAGTATAAAAATAAGTATCACTTATTAAACTTTAAATTAAGAATTCATCAATATATTGATCTGCGAGAAGTTCAGATTTCTTTGAAAATATCCAATATTCGTAGAAGCCACACTTTTACCACGAATAATGATTAACCGTCAATGAATAATCCAAGTACTCGATCAATGAGTGGTTGAAAGTGACGAATAAAAGCGATATCTACTATTTGCTTAGTCTACCTTTGCGAGGAAATGACAACGTAGTAATAACGCGTTCGGCGAAGCAGAGACCCTGTGAATCATCCCGTGCGAAGAAAAGTGCTTAGTGTGTCGCGAAATAAATAAATAATTGTCGACGTTTGTGTCTCACGTTATTTCCCACGGTAACGACGATAATGCCAACACGTGTAGGAGAAACGAGCGAGATTATCAGCCTCGGGTTAGATATACGTGTCTTCGCACGGACACACAAGCCGGGCACGCACTAGAAATGCCAGCGCCAAAGAACGGGAGAGAGAGAGAGTAACAACAAGGACTTCCGCGGTCACAGGAGTGAGAGATCCGTGCGCGGATTCCGCTATGGCGCGACTCGCATTCTTTCCGTCGTACTGCAATAATTACTGTTAGCCTGCCGCTTGATTGCGGGCATTAAACTCGCCCCTAACAACCGTAAGATGTCTGGGAATTTTCGACGGGGGCACGGACGAGGAATTACCTGGAACAGAGGAGAGGGGGGTGGACCGTTCGTTCGAGATCGCAGGGTACGTCGTCCGGGAGCACTCGAGAGGCAAAAGGCTTAATGGGTCAAGAGCGAGGTAATAAGTAGCTGGTACTAGTCATTCGACGCGCATTAAGAGCGCGGATTACATCATTTCATATGAGACATCGTCGCTCGGCAGCAGACCGTCTCAATTGGTGATGATTATCGTGTTTCAGGTCTTTTGCACGAAATATTTGCAAGAAACGAATCTGTATTTCTCTATTAGGCAATGTGGCAAATTTAATTGATTCAAATATAAATAATAAGAGCTTTTTAAAAAGAGCTATCGTAAATTTAAATTAGAGATAGCAGGACCGTAATTGAGCGTGAAATTATCACGATTTACTGTAGTTCATAATGCTCACTTTCCACTCATAAAGTGGCAACGCGTCCTATTATTCTTTTCATCTTACACAATTTACATTTTTATCATATATATACTTTTTAAAATACTCTCTCCTTTTAAGACTGAATCACTTTTGGAACACGAGGCAGTTTCTATCAAAATTACTAAAGTTAATTATACATTATGGGAAAGACTTATAACTTCACAAAAAATGTAATTCAATTTTCACTTTGCGCAGCGCAATTTACGAAACTTCTAAGCGAATACGCTGCAGCTGTAAGAACACTTGAGCTGCATGCGCCATGCCGAACCAAGTAATCCCCGTCTAACAGTAAACCTTGCGTTGGAAACCGTTGTCGCATGATTAACGATCGTTTTTTTACGCTATAATATTAGCGTGCCGCCTGCAACGGATAGAGACGATCGTGTTGAATTCATTCTCTGGTGTTCGTGATTTATGGGCAGCTTCAGATAATCTGCATTTTATAGGCACTCGCTGCCATCCCGAATAAAATGATATTACAATTGTGCAATATGCATTTTTTATTATCGTGCAATTCTTTATAAACGGGGTGACAATTTCGACACGTTCTATAACCTGATAAAACTACAAAACCATGATTATGACTAGAGGTTACGGTGTTATTCCAAAATTATCGTGGATTATCTAAAAATTTTCAATAAATCGTGACACAAAATACTACTTCAATCTTGTTCTCAGTAGTTACTAAAAGTAACTTATAATGTAACTATAGCGTAAGAGATACTAAATGGCGACAATTGTGCCATCAATGACAATGCACGTCGCCATGCACTTTAGCACGGTTACGTTTATCGAATTAGATGCATTTGAGCAATTTCGATGCCGCTAGTCTACATTTTTTTTCTTTTTCTTATACTCAGCTCGCAGCCGAGACTTCTTCATCTGCCCGAGTATTTCACTTACTTAGGTCGTCTTTTAGCTTCGAGCGAGAGACGTGAACGTGCACGCGTTTCACATAATCGCGTGAAAAATGAGAATAGACGCTCGCATTGTACACTTCCTGGCGTAGCTAAATGGAGAACAGGATGTCTGCAACGAATAGCGTCGCGTTTCGGTGTCGCGTCTGCGTCGTGAGTTTCCCTCTCCCGCCATGCAAATAAATAAATATCGCTCCACAAAGACGGGGGGGATTTGTATGCTATTTCGGATTCATATTCTAGTTTTTCGTGGTGTGTAAACGCGCGTTTGTTAACGCCATAGGTGACGGAGTTCTTACCCGAGCCGAACTTAAACCGGTTTCCGGTTTATGATCCGGAACCATTCTATTCTCGAATGTACACCCTCCCGAGGCACTTTGCATTTCAAAATACTAAAATCTGGTTTTCAATACATGCGGTAATGAGG